GTCTGACACTCATCCTTTTTTGAGGAGAGCATAACGTTTGATTTTGCCTTCTTAAAATAAAAAATACCCACTGGTGGACACGTGACTACTGCCACAGGTAATCAAAAATACATAAAGATATTTTTAGCTAAGATTTGAAAGCTCTAGTTTCTCAAACAAAGGTAACTTAAAACTTTTTAACCTGTTATCACTCGTTGAAAGTGACATAACTATAGTAGGTACCTATATGATCCGAGATAGTAGAATAAATAAAACAAAACAGTATTTAAAAGGTTTTTTATTTACCGTATAGATGTTTTACATTCGTAATTATGTTTTTAATGAGCGTATAATATGTACAACCAAGTATTTACCTTAAGGACCATAGATAGCTACATAATATGAGTTCCTACTTTGTACGCTGGAGACTTAAAAGACCGCCAAATTCCCAAAAATTCAGAGTTAAAAAAATAGTTTTTATATTAATATTCTTGAAATTAAAAACAAATTAGCGTTTTATTTTTGCTTCGGTTATTATCAGAAGTCATCTTATGAACTCAAATCCCCTTATTACAATACAAGATTTATCTTTAGTGTAGTTTTAAACTATTGAGTAAGGTTTTGCATTTTGACCTTCAATTTTTGAAATACGAAAACTGGCTCAATGGTTTAGACCTGGACTAAAGAAAATCCTTGTTTTGTTATAAGGTCGCATGACTCCAGTTACAAAGAAGGAACTTATATAAATACTAAATATAAAAACATTAAAGTATAGGTAGTATGGCTATACATTTTCTTGTCTTTTATAGTAGACCTGCTGACAGGTCAACCAGTGGTAGGCAAAATGTATTTATGAGGCCAAAAAATTGGGTACTTTCAGGTGAAAACTAAATTATTCTGACATTTCAGTCATTCATTCATTAATTGATTTGATACCTACTTAATTTTAGATTTAGATATTTTTTAGTAAACTTTAAATTAGCATACGTATTTAAATAAGTATGCTGTTTGACGTAAAAACATTATGACATTAAAACTTATGTTGCGATGTTAACTTTAAAATATTTTTTGGTTTCATTTGGCTAGTTCACCAGTTTTTTTTTTATTTTTTGTACATCAGTGCCTTTCGCACTTGGCTCGTTATACTTATCTTAAAATCTCAGACATTCAGCCAGGTTAAATACTTTCACAAAGTCTTAGATAGCCCACGGCCCATTTTTGCCCACCACTGGTCTAATTTAGGGTTCCATTACAGACATTTCATATCAAATCCCTATTTTAACTTTCAATTGTGGTACTTTGAGACACAATAGAATAAAAATAGGTGTGTGAACGCCGGCGTCCGCTTAGAGTTTTGTAAATTGATATTTCAATTTTTTTTTTTAAGTACTATTTTTCTGTTTGTTTCATGTAGAAAGATACGTCTTTTTTATGCTATGAGGATAGATAATAAAGGTATAAGATATTGTTACAGTAATATTGTGTGTTTTTTTAAGAATGAACTTTAATATAATTGGAGACAATGTTATGAATAATAATAAATAAAATTCTTTATATTTAAATTCTCTTTTTTATGGAAACGTTCATAGAATATTATTAGCGTATGTGTAATGTGTTGAAATGAAGTTATATTACTTTATAAAGAGGAAAGAAATTAACCTATTTTTACAGCTTGTGCATAATATTACAACCATAAAAAAGTTATTATATGTATGTAGGTGAGTTCCTTTCGCTAAATTTGAAAAACCTTGATCCTCTTTCGAAATTTGTCTCTATAAGTATTATTATAAATAAAACAAAAATATGAGAAATTCGCATAACAACAATAACTATAAAAAAATATAGGTACTATTATTGATAACCTCCTTTTTAGAAGTCGGTTAAAAAGAATATTTTTCAAGGAGTTGATGGTAAAGGAAATTAAGCCGTATATTAATGTACTCAAGGTTGCATATCGACCACATGATGACACAAATCCCATCCTACTAATATTATGAATGTTAAAGTTTGTAAGAATGCTGTCTGCCGATTTTTTTGAAATTTAGTATGTATATAGGTGATACAGTGGATTAAAATATAGACTGTTTTTTATCAACATTACCACGCGGGCGAAGCCGCCATTAGAAGTTAATGTTAAAAAAAGATTTATTTTATTAATAACATACAAAAATTAACTAAACATTTAGAAATATGGCGTATGAAGGGGCAGCCTTATCAACTATAGCAATCTCTTCCGCAACCAAATTACCTTGTGGAATATAAAAATTGAATTAATTTTCAATTTCCAAAAAGTGCTACCCAGTACCCTAATAATTGTTTAGATGTTGCGTTTATTGATATTTATACATATATATAATAATATAATATAATATTTAAATATATAGCATCATTAGATATATGGCAGTATATGATATGTACATAGATACAATAATTATATAAGTTTCATATAATGTTTAGTATAAGGTTTGTATAGTAACTAACTCGAAAATAATTATGAGCCCCGGTTTACCTTGAAACTAATCGAGTGTGCTCGAATAGTTTAGTTTAGAGTAATATTATGACATTTGTGTACATTTAAAGACTCATTCACACATTTATAAGAATGTTTTATGTAGATTCGATACATACTTAGAATGGTTAAAATACATGACTTTTTACATAAAAAAGTATAGTTTTCCTAACAGATGGTATGGTTTGACAATTCGTGAATAACAATTTTAGTATTTGATGAGAATGATTGAATCATGAATAGCTTTTAAAACAAAAAATTTTGAATAAGTTTTTATTTACATTTTTCTTATATATATATTTCTTACACCTAACAATGTATGTATACATACATATATTTTTAATTTTTTTCTAACACCAATCCTTTGACACATATTTGACGTAATATCATTCGATTTTTTTTCAAATTTTTTTTTATTATACCTAAATATTAGGAACCAAAGATTTTAACAAAAAAAACATTGTAATAATTACAATTTGACACATTAAGTACATATTATAGAGATATACACCAATTTTTTTTTAATATACAGTTTTTTTCTAATTCCTAGTACAGAAAATAAGAAAAATCTTTTTTTAAATAGAGATACTTATACCCTTTGCCTCTTTTTAATTTTAATTATATTATATAAAAGTGTTTTTTTGTTTTAAAAATATAAAAAAATTGAATGGTTCATAACCCTTTCAAACAAGGATAGAAATTACTGATTCTGATTTTTTAAAACACAGAATTATTATGTTGCTGTCGCGTCAGAATGTTTGTATAAGACAGTGACAGCGACAATTTTATTCCTCAGATAACATTTATCTGACTATTGAAAAATCTGCCCTAAGTTGGAAAAATCCTAAACAATGGGAAAAATATCTTTTTTAGTTATATATCTTGAATTTAAGACATATAATTAAAAAATATATTTTTCATTTTAAGCCAATAAAATAAAATAGATTTTGACTTTGCATATTGCACTTTCGCTATCTTTTTCTCCTTTACTGAGTTAGAAAGAAAAAGAATATACCTTCTTATTTGAAACCAGTCAAACTGACTCAACAATGAGCATTTATTATTCTTGGTCCTGTCTCTTTCTTTCTATAATCTATGGAAAAGGAAAGCGATAATTTACACAGTTTAGTTGTTTTAAAGGTATCGGTTTCCAATAAAAACGATATTATTTTTCGAGAGCCTTAGTAATGAACAAATTAATTCCAAAAATATAACTAAACAAAGATTTTTTTTAATTTTTAGGCGGCTTTTTTAAATAATACTAAATCATTAACACAATATTCCTCATACAATTTCCATTCCAAACATAAAAAAAAACAAAAACAACTGACGTTTTTATCACAAAATAGTTTTTTTCCTAAAAATAACACACTAAGTATTTGAAATAAGAACATAATATTTTTTTTTCTATTTGTGCTTTGTAATGATTGTGACTTTATTTTTTTTTTAATATGTATGTCAATTTTTATAACCAGTCCAGAGCCGTATTATCCCTCACGCAAACTAGGCATATGTCTTGAGTTAAGGGACGCGCGTGCTGTTAAATTCGTTAATAAATCGCTTGCCTAGGTCACTCACCAGGATAGATCCGCCTCTAAGCCAAGTTTTAAAGACCCATTTATATATAGAGTGAATGGTAATAAGTGACTGGTATTTAATTATATATTTAAATAACGATCATTAATTACCAGGTCACCTTATAGATAGATTTTGGCTTTTCATAGACCAAGATCAATGCGCAATGTTAATAAAAAAACCAAAGAAAACATACCAGTCACCAATACCATCGCTTGCCCTTACATTCCCGACTTTTCTCACTTTATTTACCGACCCTTCTGAATGACAGCAAAACCATAGAAGCATAGAAAACTGCTATTTAACACGCCCAGATGTAGCCTAAACATTATGATTTGTTCTAAATCATTTCACAAGATCTTGGACTATTTAAATATTAGAAAATTTAACAATTAATTTATATCTCCAGTAGTCAAATACTAAGTACATATATATAAAGTATATAATATACAATCTGTCAACACTAAAAGGAGGAAGGCGTGATCATATCTACCTATGTATATTAATTTGCAAAAACATTATTAAACAGAAAGGGTATTTTATAAATAGAACAGATCCGAAACGCATCGGTGCGTAATAAAAAAATAACACAACAATTTCAATTTTATGTTAACAGCGTAATGTATATATCACTTTGTATGTAAAAACAAATCAAAATTTTTATTTATAGCGGATAACGTTTCCGAACGTCTGCTTAGCCTTGGTCGTAAACGGTCCAATAGGGGCAAGCCGCCCGACCGTTACGCGCTAGTGCGATTAAATTAAAAAAAAACGCGCCGTGTGGCGAAATATTTATGGCCACTGAGTGGCTGTCAGAGAGTAAGATAAGTTATGGCGGACTTTATAGTTTTGTGCGTGTATCTCTTGTAATTTTTTTTGTAGTTTTATTAAAGTTTATGCCGCGTAATTTTACCCGGACTACACATTGTGAAATTCGCGCGTCTATGCGTGGCGAACGCTGATTGGTGCGTGTACATTCTTGGGAATACGCCTATTGGTCCGTACCAATACGCGCGCTACAACCCTATCGAAGTAAAAATTCACCCTTACCTATCGTCTTGACCCATTATATTTCGTAATAATAGTAATTATAAACGTAATTACATTATTATACTTAGTATTCTGTTTAGCCAACGTTATTAAGGAATATATTACAAAAACTTTTTTCAATCCCTTATTTATATGTTTAAGTATCGATATGAAGGTTTTTAATGCATCCTGGTGTTGATTTGGTGAATTACGAAACATTTTTAACCGACTTATAAAATAAATATTGTATAGTAGAAAATTGTGCTTGGATTTGGTAATAGTTCAAAATTTATATAAAAACATAGCCTTAGGAAAATTATTTTCCTTTACAATAAAATTCTTTATATATTACTGAATGATAGAACATTATTTTTAAGGGTACATTTAAAAAATATTTTTTTTCTTTTCTGACTTGGCAGTGTCATTTTAAATTTAGAATACAGCCAATATTTTTGAATTTAGAATGCTTATTAAAACTCACGGAATATATCCAAGATGGCAGTTTGAATTTTTGATATTTTTCTTCTTTTTTGGAAATAATTCAGCTTGCAGTCGACGCGTAGCGGGATAATTCTGGCAGGACCATACCAACAGCCTGAAAGAATTGTGCAATCTAACATGAGCTTATTAACAACACCGTCCGGTTGTCGGTAGAATGGATCGGGTCTGGAAAAGGATGGGTGGGCGGACTGAATGTGCAACATTTTGTTTTACTCATAAATTTTCATGATAGTCTTAGACAAGAATATGAAGTAGTAGCAGTCGGACGAAAGAGTCAGACTCTTATTGACTAAAAACCCCCTCATTCCTTCTTAAGGGAGGGCGTGCCTCTTCCTGAGGGCGCAAGCAAATCCTTGCTCGGATATATATAGTATATACGGCTAGCTATTTTCGCGCGGTTTCACCCGCTGTTTAGCTCCACTTGATCGTAGCGTGATGTTTTATAGCCTATAGCACTCAGGAACAGTGTAGCTACCTATCAGTGAAAGAATTTCGGCAATCCGACCAGCGGTTCCAAAGATTACCCCCTACATACAAACATACTTTACAAATTTTACCTCTTTATAATATTAAGTATAGATAAGATTCTGTTTCTTTCATATAATCTGAAGAAGGGATGGAAGGGGGATATTATCAAGTTCGAGTAAGAAATCGCTAACAAACTACTATAAATGATTTAGCATTTTTTAAGTAGGTCACATAGCGTAACGCATTATTTAACATACATCAGGTAAGCGGTCAGATTCTTGGGGGGTAACCATGACATTCAAAGTAAGAGGGTTCGATTCCCGACTATGTGTAACGAAATAGGAGTTACCATATGAAAAAAACGCCTATTATTGTTACATTTAGAGCCTTCTTTTGGGATAGCTATAAGAAAAATCTTATAAATAAAAAAATAAAATATATTTAGCTATTTACCTCATTCTCAGCTCTTTCCTCATCACTCTGGTACTGGACATCCAATTCTGAACTGTTCACACTGTTCTCCCAATCTTCTGAAGATTCTACTGATGACGCGTCCAGGTCCATTTCAGCTAAAGATTAAAAAAGAACGATCAGAACTTGATGATGTACTGTTTCATCAAATCAGATGTTTCAATCTCCACAAAGAATAGGGAGAACTGCACAAATCCACTTTTCACCAGTTTTCTTAAAAGTCAATATTGATTTGAAACAGGGGATGATCTTTCATGAATGATACCTTCTTTTATTTAAGTACTGTACTGTTCTTCTACGGTGCTTCGGCTAAGTAACATTAGGCTAGCAATGGCCTGTATAATTTAATGGAACATTGAATCAATGGGTAATTCCTCAACTTGCAAATTGGCAACAATTCTCTAAAACCCCCAAATATGCGTTTGAGCAACGAACAAGACTTATATTTCACACAGATATCATGTACATGTAACCAGTACCTAAGAGACCACAAACAACATATTTTTATCTGTGGTCACTGTTCCCAGAGCCCAAAATATGACGTTACAATAAATTGACATTGACAAGTGACAAGTGAGAAAAAAAATCTGAGCCATTATTTTTTTTGGCACAGATTATCAAGGTACGTAATTCTTACCAATGACCATAGGCTCAGCATGTCTGTTGGGCGGTACAGCTGGAAGCCGGAGTGCGGTCGCGTTGATGGCCAACGCCTGGGCGGCTCCGTGCCGACTGCTGCTTGAGGGTTGAGAGGATAAATCTCCAAGAGTACCATCAGCTGACGGTAGCTCTTCAGCATATCTTACTAGGGGATGTTCCTGGGGATAAAAAGATAAAATAGTTGAAAATTTTGCACGGTTTTGACGGATTATAGACGTAATTGTAGTAAAAAAACTCCTCTTCGTGTATATATACTTCGACTGCACGGTTGGTGCGGTGGTTGGGCAACTGGCTGCCGTGCAACGTGTCGCGGGTTCGATTTCTGCACGGAACAACTCTTTGTGTGACCCATAATTTGTTGTTTCGGGTCTGGGTGTGATGTGCATGTGAAATTGTATGTTTGTAACCGCACTGTTTAAAAAAAATATAAATATATACTTATGCTCACAGTTAGTAGCAATACTTATATGTTGTGTTGTGAGTTCTATTATTGGTTCTGGTATAACGACTCAAATAGAAATTGTGGTATGGCAAGTCCTCTATGTAAAAGAGGCTTATATTTCATCAGTGGACTATCACGAGCTGTTAATAAGCAGAAGACAATGACAATGATTTTTTTTTTTTTAGGTTTGAACATCGTCAAATGACTTGTCTCACGAGGCGGAGTGTCAGATTCTTATTGACTTAAGACCACCACGTATCTACTCCTGCTACAGGTCAAGGTCGCGGAACCTTATTGCCCAACCCGCATGTTATAATAAAGGTACTTACAGGATGAGAGAGTTCGCATATCGGATTGTGACGAAGGTCGATCATCTCCAGAACGGAAAGGTAGCAAGTGTCGAAATCCGCTGGGAGATACGATATCTGCGAAACAAAAATAAGTACAATCAATTATCGTTAAACCTAACTAATAAAATATTTCATTGATTTTAATTAATGTTGTTTTGGACACAACGAATTACTTAACAAATGGTAACTTAAAAAAACGCCTGTCATGTTTAATTAAAAACTAATAAGTAAAAAACAAATCAAGAGGAAAGGATAAGCAATTATTGCAGTCGGGGGACAGTTCTCTGTGACATTAACTTAATCATATGTCCCCAAAAACGCAAAAAAATTGCTTATTCTTTCCTCTCGACATCTTATTTTTTGGCCTTATAGAAAACAGTCGTGTAACAACCATACGGTACCGTAATTCGCCGTTTGAATGAGGGAACCGGCCTATCATCTATCATTCCCCTCCCCCAATTCCTAAATCTCCAAAAGTTAGGCAACACGGGTGTGTTGCTTCGGGCTTATTGAGGGTTTAATTGCTTCGTAGCCGCGGGTGCGATCAAGTAATACGTCTAAACGTTTGGCGCGCATTCAAAAAAAAGTTCCGATGCCGGTGACTAATCAAAGGTTTTTAAACAAGCAGGTACATCAAGAAAACAAATTCCCTTAATTAATATTAGTGTGGGAGAGCCTTGCTTCGGCACGAATGGGCCGGCTCGACTGAAATGATACCACAGCCTCACAGAGAACCGGCGTGAAACAACCACAGCGTTGTGTTTCGCCGTGTGAGTGAGGTTACCGGAGACTCAATCCTTTCTCTCCTCCAATCCCTAAAAGGTCGGCAACACACTCGTAACTCCTCCGTTGCGGGTGTCCATTGGCGGCGCTGATTGCTTACCATCAGGTAATCCGTCTGCTCGTTTGCCAAGCTATTGTATAAAAATATATATATAAAAAATTCCTAATATCAAAATAAAAAAAATGTGTCATTGTACTTTGTATTTGAGTCGTTTATGTACATGACACCGATGTTATGTATTACGGTCATGTTTACATAACACGCATTTTATTTTCCGTGGACATTTTACATATCAAATGTGACATCTGCGTTTTACTAGCTATGTGGGTCACTTTTAACATCAATTTAAAAAAAAATTTACGACCGTCACCACAATTGCGTAGTTTTCTAGGTCAAAAGTAAATTATTATAAAATGAATAATTAAAACATTATTATGTTTTAGTTTTTTTTTTAATAAATAAGTATTGTTTGACGGAGGAAAGTATTGTTTTTAACATTTCAATGATAGCATTGAATTTGACTAGTTGGGAACTACTGGATTCGTTGCGTGTATCAATTCTGCCGATTAAAAAAAGTGATAATGATTCTGAATTTTATTTCGCAAACTATCTTATAGAAATATTAATAATATCTATTAGCTTTACTAAATAAAATGCTTAACAACGGGAGAGGACAACGATTTGTAAATTTTTTTTTTTGATGAATTACCCTAAATAGTATGTTATACGCAGGGTATACAAAAAAAAAAAAAAAAAATTAGCGGGCTGCGCGAAATATGTAATCAGTGACAGCTTATATAACACGAAAAATATTTTTACTAACTTTTGCCCATGAATTTGTTCGCGTAGAATAGTGACTCCCTACAGGTTTTGGTTTAAAAACTATCCTATGTCCATAAACTAATACACTAATATATACCTATATAGTGTATTATTAGTCTATGCTATGTCCTTTCTCGAGTTCCAAACTATGTTTCTAGGTACCAAATTTCACACAAATAGGTTCAGTAGTTTAGGCTTGAAGAAAAGACAGACAGAGTTACTATCGATCGTTACTATCGACAATATTTTTTTTGTTGTTGTTCTGGAAACAACTTGACAGATTACCTGTACTTATGCAAAAGAACTTGTTTACAAAATTGATTTTAAATAGGTAAGTATCACGAGTTACTTGAATTATACTCGTAGAAGGTTATGTTCATGAATAGGCTGTTTTTTGAAGGTATTTCCTCATTCCAAAGTATAGATTCCTATAGAGAGGAAAGAACTCAATATTACAAATCTTGGTTAGGTATTGCAAACTATGACTGCCGATTTGTACCTACACACTTTTGGACTTTACTCATGTGCTATTATTTGAAGGGGAAAATCATCATATGGCTAGAGGCGAGCAGGAGTGATAGTCTTCTCTGACTAAAAACCACCCCTGGGTTGAAGTGTGGGAGAGCCATGCTTCGGCACGAATGGGTCGGCTCGGCCGGAGTGATACCACGGCCTCACAGAAAACCGGCGTGAAACAACCACAACGTTGTGTTTCGCCATGTGAGTGAGGTTACCGGAGGCCCAATCCTTCCCCTACCCCAATCCCAAAATCCCAATCCTTAAAAGGTCGGCAACGCACTCGTAACTCCTTCTTTACGCCGATTGCTTTCCATCAGGTAATCCGTCTGCTCGTTTGCCGTCCTATCACATAAAAAAAACCCGGTCCTTCTCCTTCTCCTGGTCCAGGCCGGGGCCGCGATTCCTCATTGCGTTTCACGCGCAACCCCGACTGAACATCGGCACCGTTGCCTCCTGTCTTATGTGCTAATAATTTTTAATAATCTTTGCCAGTTGCTACGGTTGACTGATGGGCTGTGAGATGAAGATCGAAATTTAAAAGATTCTGATTTATCAGAGAACTTAACAAACTAATGTAATTTAAGCAACTACATGTATATAAATATATAGCGAAAACGGACATCGAAACGAATAAGCCTGGAACTCCCGACATAGGGAATCCTTGTGTGAGCTTCAGGAATCAAAGCATTGTTTGTAATTTATAAGCAATAAAATTATTCTTATTGTTATTAAAAAAAAGAAATCGGAGCTGCCCAGTCAAATGTGAGTCAAGCCAAGAACAAATGGCATATAAACTTAAGTATTATGTCCTATAAAAATGTTTACATAATATTGTTATACGATTCTTGTATTACGAAAAATATTGAATTCTCACTCGTCTATAGCGCCATTGTTTTGTATTATAAAGGTCATTGTTTAGATTGGATACTTGGAATTGGACATTATTTAATCATCATTATCATCAGCCTATTATCACATCACAAACATCATCACATCATCAGCCTATAAGTGCCTTATGCTCAGCAAAGTCCTCTTCTCACACGGAGAAGGTTAGAGCATTAATCACCACGCTTGCTCAAAGCGGGTTGGCGATTTCAAATTATTAATTAGAAATTATAAGTTTTTTTTCTTTTTTTTTCTTTAAAAAAACGTTGCCCCACGTTAGGATTTTCTCCTGTGTCGTGGGTGCGGTTACAAACATACAATTTCACATACACATCATGACTCCCAGACCCGGAATAACAATTTGTGGATCACACAATGAGTTGTTCCGTGCGGGAATCGAACCCGCGACACGCTGTACGGCAGCCAGTTGCCCAGCCACCGCACCAACCGCGCAGTCACACCGTGCATAAGTCCAGGTTTCCTCTCGATGTTTCGCTTCACCGTATGTCAGTGGTGTCTAAATATTCATAGAAAGTTCATATAACTCGGAAAAAGTCCTCTCCTATTATTTGTAGCGTGATGAAAAGTATCCTATAACCTGCCCAGGAGTATAAAGAATAATTGTGCCAAGTTTTGTTAAAATCCGTCGAGTAGTTTTTGTTTCTATAAGGAACATCAACATACATACAGACAGACAGACAGAAGTTACTATTCCACGCGAACAAAGTCGCGGATAAAAGTCAGTTTTGTTTATTAGCTAACATCGATTTAGGTAAATACAAGATTGTCAACATTTTTAGACAACTTTTAGATAAAGAGACTTGCCAAGATTGTTTAATTATTTACCTGAACCGATAGAGCATAATTAGTCTATTTAAGACTAATCGGCCTGATTACTGTGATTAGAACCTTTTAGAAGAACACTAAGCCATTTATCTTTTGTGGGTGGACAAATCTATACACGGAAGACGCAGTTGCAAGCTGTTAACATTTTTAAATACACGTAGGTAGGTAGGACACATTGTAATTGTAATTATTGTAGCTTGAAGGTCATTTGGACGTCGTGTACGTGTGCAATTAGTTATTATGTGAACTGGTTATGTAGTTGGGTTGTTTTTTTTTTTCTATGCTTTTTTTACGTTATCGGCAAACGAGTAGACGGATTACCTGATTGTAAGCAATCAGCGCCGCCCCTGGACACCCACAACGGAGGAGTTACGAGTGCGTTGCCGACCTTTTAGGAATTAGGGATTTGGAGATTTAGGGATTGAGGAGGGATTGGGGGAGGGGAAGGATTGGGCCTCCGGTAACCTCACTCACACGGCGAAACACAACGCTGTGGTTATTTCACGCCGGTTTTCTGTGAGGCCGTGGTATCACTCCGGTCGAGCCGACCCATTCGTGCCGAAGCATGGCTCTCCCACACTTAAAAAACTTACTGCAAACGAGATGAACGAGCGCCTGATCGTAAGCGATCGGTACCGCCCATGGACATTCGCAACAGCAGAGGAATTACGGAGGGAGAGATTTGAGGTTTTAGAATTGAGAGATAGAAGAAAAGGATGTTGGGCCACCTGTAGTCTCAATCACACATCGAAACACAACGCTGGGGTCGCTACACGTCGGTTTTCTGTGAAGCCGTGAATTCATTCCAGATTCGAAATTCAAATAACCTTATCGCCAGCAATACTTCAAGTATTACATAGTAGTTGCACTTTTCGCCCTAAGCAAGACGAGGAAAAAATTGGCAATATTTTTTTTAACAAAGTTAAAGTTCGACGGGCCCATAACCTGCCGTCATTACTTGACACTGGCAGTATAGTCGACAACATTAAACTGGAGACTCAGGTGCCATTCAAGAAAGAGGAAAAAAATATTTTTTATATTTAATATACATATAGCTATCGTTACGTAAATACGTAGTGAAAAAATATTATATTCCAGTGTTTTAGTTGGCTACGCCCTAACAGGACGATGTACTTACATTCATGATATTTGCTTACTTCTGTGTCAATGTATGTTGCGCAATAAATGAATAAATTCGCAAAAAAATGTATTAGCATTATACATACACATATAAAATACTCATGCAGGTATAACAATGCCGGCATATAAAAATAACTGCATGATTATTTTTTGAATATGTAAGAAAGCTTTGGAAATCCTAAATAAATACCTGATTATTATTTAGCTGCAGAAACATGAGATCTGGACACTTGAGTATGGAAACAGGAAACTCCTTGACCCTGTTATTTCTCAAGTTGCAGTGGACTAGAGACTCCATGGAGTCCATGGTGTCCGGTAATGCTTCAATAAAGTTGTTCTCTAGTGTGAGCCATCTGAAAGAAAACATAGGTATTCCTTTATTTAGAACCATGTTGTGACAGTAGAACAGTCTGCTCCTAGATGTGAATCCAGGGAAACTGGTGACACAGCTGTTCATAGACCTTTGTTGCTGCTCACACCCAAGCTAAAGCAGCAGGTCTTCCCACCTTCATATTGTTATAGGTGTTATTGGAGATCCAAGTTTGGTTTATTTAGAGTCAGATGATAGTGACGTTAGATTCCCACACACCCTAGTATTCAGCCGGGGTTGCAGGGTAAGCGCAATGAAGCACCGCGACCCCGGCCCAGAGCAAGAGAAGGAACAGGTGGGTTTTTAGTCAGTAAGAGTCTGACACTCCCTCCCGCCCGGCCCTGGGTGGGAGAAGTCATTTGATGATTTCCCCTCACAAAAAAAAAACACACCCTAGTATATCTTTTTAAAATAGTATTTATAAAAAGGTGAATAATGACGGTCACCAATCACACCTTTAAAAAGTGTACTCCCTAGTTTTTCTTTCCAAAAAAGCAATGCAAATTTTTAAGGTTATGCTTTCTCCTGTCCTCCCTTAAAAAGGCTTAGAGTTTAGATTAGTGGGAGACTTATTTCGGCTAATTAAGTTATTGTATGGAAATAAACTCAATTAACCTTGGTCATTCAGGACACAATAGTAAGACAATGGGGTTTGATGAATTAATGATTAATATCAGGCAAAATAAAAATACTTTATTCAAAATATTTGGGGATTAAAAGGGGTGATAGTATATTAATGTCATGGATAGTTGGTAAGTTTGTATTCATAAATAGTTGAGTAATAAAGAAATCACATAAAATACTTTAAGTACTAAAAATTTAAGTCAAGGTTGAATCTGGATTATTTAGTCAACATACAACTGGTTTGACTTTGAGCCGAATCACTGTAAGGCAGAGTAGATATTAACAAATCATAGATAAAAACTTTAAAGGCCAAATTCAAGGTTTCATCTTTTTTCTGTACCACAACCTTGAACTAAGTATAGGCAAGGAGGTTGTTAATAATTTAATGAGAAACAGTATGAGGTCATTGCTTTTGCGTATGCCTATGAGGAATTTAAAAAATATAATGTCAACTTTTTTTCTAAAAAGATGAATTTTTAATATTTAAAAAGTTTTCAGAATTAGATAGTGTTAAACAAATTACGCCTATAAATATACACACATATAAACCAGAAAATTCATAAATTCAAATCGATATTCGTATAGCCTTGCATTTACCTTAGTTTGGATAACTTGGTGATTTCCTCAGGTAGGGCAACCAGTTCATTTCCTCGCGCGCCAAACGTATCCAGCTTCTCTAACTTCCCTATTTCCTTGGGTATCTCCCGCAGTTGAATTTTGTTGCACCAAAACGCCTCCAAGTTTTCAAGTTCACCAATTTCCGGGATCAAAACCTTCAGAGGATTGTAACTAATGTTCAAATTCACTAAGTTTTTTAAATTACCAATCTCCGGCGGTAGCTGCGTTATATTATTATAATCTAGCGTTAACGTGGTTAAATTCACTAGCTGTGTTATTTCCTGAGGGATCACTGTTATTTTATTTCTATGCAAATATAAATGTTCGACATCGGAACAGGTGTAAAGCAATTCCGGGATTTCAATAATTTCGTAGGCGTTCAAACTCAGCCGGGACTTCTTTTTGACTATAGCCTGCTCGATAAGGGCCAGTATATGGTTTTCACGAATAAATTTTAATATTGCACTCATTTTTGTATCTATTTTTGGTTACATTTCTATTGCGTTTTTGAATTTGTTGTGAATGTGACAGGTGTGCCTAGGTCGCGAGTTTATGGTAAATAAACATAAAAATCTGATTGAAAAACATCTGAGCAGGAAAGGGAGATAAAGTCGCTCTTGACAGAAAGAGATAGAGTTAAAACACCGTTGACAATCTAGAAAATATCTGGAACGCTATCTTGACATTACATAACTATGTGTTGCAATGTTTATTAAATTATTTTCTACCTTTTATAGCTGAATAATCTGAAGAATCGTATGCTAAAATTCATATTTTACGTAGAACTAAGAGAAAACAATAGAATAATATGAGGCTACCAGTTATAAGCCAATCGCTTTGACTAGGATTTAGCGTATTTTTAACTATGATCATTCCAATCCTGCAATAAAGTTTCAGTGTAAAGGATCGTTGCCACTGTATCGATTTTCCGCGGTAATTGTGAAAATGGCTGGTTTTTATCGCGGCATAAATAATTAAAAGATACAACTTTAATAGTATCAATACATGTGCATTAAAATATGGAAATCAATGATTTCCTATAGTGAAAATATAAAAGGACGTTTAGATCGATTCGTTTTTTAACGTAAGCGGAAGTTAAAAGGATCGACATGCAGTCATGTGTTTTTAAATTTACATTTTCTTTGATATTAAGTTTACAATTTTACAATGCAGATGCAAATGGTAAGACTAATATATCTATCAGTTAGAGAGCACTTGTAGTAAACATATTTTTTTTTGTTTATACATCTCATAAATAAACATAATGAGTAGGTAGGTATCTACTTTAATTGACCTTGGCTTCACTTATGTATTTTAATCTTATAAACGAGTAGTGTGCAATTAAAAAGCACTAATTGGCTTGTTAGAAAGTAGTGTGATAACATCGATAAAGTTGATTAACAACATTGTTTAACGTGGCATGAAAAAAAAAGAAAAAGAAAATAGAGAACAAAGACGAACGAATAATGTTTTAGTTTTCTTTTTTTAGGAAATAATTTATTTAAGGTACCTATATACATTTAGATGTATGTATTTGTGGATTATAACTAAGATAAATATAAATATAGCTTAGCTTTACATCCAACAATAATATTATGACTTAATTTAGTAGAGGGATAAACATTGTTGAAACAACATACGAGCACATTTTCAATGTGTGTTTGTTTTTAAGATCAAGTTTAATCCTGACTTAAGATTGAGTTTATTTTTGTTTTGTTTTATAATCAAAACCCGTACAATACATATTTATTTGATCTGAAAAAAAAAACAAAACACAATCGAATACCTAGGTACTGGTTTCATGTTTGATCGTGTGATACGTCATTACTTTCCTTCTATCTACTTATATGTAACAACACAGAAACTAAGTACTTAGTTTGTTTTAAAACATTTTAATAATGATAATGCTTTCAGCTTCCCAAAACAAGAGCTCTCACCATCTCCGAAGACTAGGTGACGATGGATACTTCAAATCGAAGCCATCGTACCGGTCTTTCCAACCGGTATCAATTCGATATCACAAATCTACATACCCAAGATCGGATGACCGATCAGACTACGACATAACATCCTATGATACGGAGTACGGAGGAGTTGTATCCAATTTCACGTCTTCCATCTACGATGATAATCCTCAATTGTATCCTAATCCAGAGTTTGTGGCGCGAAGCAACCAGGGTAAGTTGTTTGATGTAAAATTAAAATATACAATGAAAGAACTGAAAGTCTTTTTTATTAATCACTAGCTACTCTCGCGCGGTTTCACCCGCAGCTCGGCTCCATCTAATCGTAGCGCGATGTTTTATAGCCTATAGCACTCAGGAACATTGTAGCTATCTATCAGTGAAAGAATTTTGGCAATCCGACCAGCGGTTCTAAAGATTACCCCCGACATACAAACTTTCAAACATACAAACTTACTTTTATCTCTTTATAATATTAGTATAGAGATCATTAATCTCTTGACTGCTGCCATATGAAAATAAATTGTCTCACTTCTATACTATATTACCGTTAATAAAGAGTTAAAGTATGAGTATTTGACCTACTTTTCTGTAGGTACACATGTTTTTGCGAATAAATATGATTTGATTCAAACAAGCTGATCTTATCTATACTAATATTATAAAGAGGTAAAATTTGTAAGTTTGTATGTTTGTATGGATGTGGTAATCTTTGGAACCCCTAGTCGGATTGCCAAAATTCTTTCACTGATAGGTAACGACAATGTTCCTGAATGCTATAGGCATATTAAACATTACGCTACGATCAAATGGAGCTGAGCAGCGGATGAAACCGCGCAAGAGTAGCAAGTAGTTTATATTTCATCCAATTCGAAAATTATCGTGGTAGACAGAGCCCCAGATTGGAAAACACAGTAATATTTTACGTATAGGTATATTTTTGAAGTCACGATGAACGTTTTCTTTTCAGTTATAAGTAAAAACGCAGACAACAAGGTTGATATTGAGCCAGATATACCTGATGATTCCTTAGCTGATGCAGATCTCAAAGAACATAACATTATAGATAGTGTGACGTACTTGTACGGATTTAACAACTGCCATGGAGTTAGGAACGAGTGGATGATCTTGGTGAGTTAATTAATCTCATTTTTCTGCAAGTCTGATATTTGTCATATCATTTGGTAAAGAGGAGTTAAGAAGAGTCAACTTGAGATTCTTAATTTTTTTCCGAGATTAACTCTTTATATTTTAATTGGTGCCATGGTGGCCTGGAGGTTAAGGAGCCCGCTTCTCATGCATGAGGGTGTGGGTTCGAAACCTGGCAAGTACCAATGTGACTTTTTCCAAGTTATATGTACTTTCTATGATTGTTTAGACTCCACTGACATACGGTGAAGGTAAACATCGTGATGAAACCTGGACTTATAATTTCTAATTGTAAGTTTGAAATCGCCAACCCGCATTGACCAAGCGTGGTGATTAATGCTCAAACCTTCTCCGTGTGAGAAGAGGCCTTTGCTCAGCAGTGGGCAATTTATAGTCTGATGATGATGATGATTTTAAATTATGAAAAGCATAATAAAAGAACTCACAAGCTCTTCAGCTTTATAATGGCACATGCGTCATTTCTTTATTTCTCGAATCTCACGTCGAAAACATCTCTTTCCATGACAGATCTTCATAACAAGCGGTATAGCTGTAGTTCTACTGATAAGTGCAGTGATGTGGCTAATGTGGAGCGAGTATGCAGCTGAATTCCGTCGCAACAGCAAGTTGTATCCTATCAACATTAATCTGTGTTGCTGTTTGGCCGCTTGCACCATTATCTACATACAGGCTGTGATGGTGAGTCGCAATAATTTTAGTAATCACATAGTATTTTATTCTTCAAAACTTAAATCAACCTCAACCTCTATAATATTCATAGGTACATTAGTCTATATACTATATATCTATATTTTCTCATCTTTAGGGCGTATCATCTCCCTCTCAGTGTGAGAGAATAGCCCTCCTCCTGCATTACACGCATGTCTCTTGTGCTATGTGGATAGTAGCACTCGCGGCGGCGGTAGCAGAGTATTGTGCTTGTGACACTCTCTTGCCACTAAAGTACAATTACTTGCTGGCCTATGGAGTACCTGCTGTGGTTGTCATGGTGAGAAGAACCTTAATATCTTACAATATTGCTTTAATTGTCCGTATGATCCTAGTTTGGTACTGAAGGCTTGTCTTTTCTAGTTCAACTACGCTCTCTCTATGGAACACTACGAAATAAAACACTACTGCTGGATGTCAATTGAAAAGGGCATGGTTATGGGCTTCATGGTACCAGCAATGATTCTCATCCTAATAAACACAGCAATCATTATCTTAGGCCTACAAAGCGTAAACAAAAAGCAGGCGGAAACGTTAACAGCAAAAATACAAGAGTTGGTGGACCACCATATAGCTAATTGGCCAAAAACTGATGGTCAAATGGATGACAAAAATGGAAGTATTGACACGTTAGATAATATCTACACTCCAGGAAGTAGTAGGAAGAATACGGATAGTTCCGAAACCCTCGATAAAGATTATAATGGAAGTGAAGACGATTGTCATTACGTGAACATCGCAATACCTGGCGAAAATGGCGAAACAGGTAGTGAGGTGAGTATTCTAATAAAACAGAAAATTATATCAATACTGTAAGTACTCTAAGGTTTGTTATAAAAATGTTTTCCTCTAATTCAATTCTAGCCCAACCTAGCACAAGCGGCAAAGGCAATGCACGATAAGAGCCTCCTAAACATGCTTTACATGGACAATATATCCTGGAAATGGACTTGGAACACCGAAGGCAATGAGCTGAAGACATATCTTAACTTATGTCTTGTATTAGAACCGTTCTTTGCCATCAACTGGGTCATGGGAGTCGTAGCTATTGAGAATGCGGCCCATTGGTCTACTCCAACGATTTATTTGATACTTGTCGTTGTTATGGTAAGAAACGGAGACTTATTTTAGCTGGTTAATATCGATTGGTGACGAAGGTAATGACAGGCGTACTTAAATATAATTATATTATTTGCAGTACATTTACCTAACTACGACAATATGTACTACGTTGCCGATCGTGCGTCCGAAGACCACAGCCCCGTGCTGCGAGGCCGTTATTAGTGAACCAACGCTTACCAGAAACAGGTAACTAAACAAAATTAGATATAAAAAAGAAATTAAAGGTGGTAAACTATATCATGAGAATGAAGTTTAAATATAATTAATTGAAATATATAAATTAAGCGGTCACCGTTTAAAGTTCAGGTATTAAAGGAAAAATGTTCAAAAAATTTATGAATAATACCTACATCGACAAAATTTGTGATATGTTCAAGACTGTTTCATTAATACATCTTCGTCCACAGGACTACTGACAGTATTCCCTTACTGGACCCAACAATCCAGCAGCCAATTGTGACACCAGCGCCAGCGGACACTATAAGTACTATCAGCATTTAAATCACACACCACAAACTGGTTGAATCAGTTCAGTCACAAAAGTGACTGCGTGTTACGAAACACGTATGAAATTCGATTGGCAGATTTACTGCTTCCAAAGCTAATTCAGCTGCACTAGCTTTCAGTGCAGAGCTAAATACAGGATTGTAACATAACCGTCTGGAAATGCAGGGGCCCAATGGCTACCTACATAAAGAAATTATATTTTAGTTACCAAAACTTGTTTGCTTATTATTTGGCGAAAAGGTTGCAATATAAAAACTCAACAAAGCCTCTTGTATGTAATATCATCGTATTGCCAGGGTTATCATAGTTTTTTTTTATTATTAACCTAGTTGTGACTTTGTGAAAGTTATTCTTTTGATATATGTTAGAATGCTGTTCCTAAACCCAGACGGGCGACACGACGCTTTGGTGTAAGAATTAATTAACTGTGTCTAAGAAAATTCCAACCTTGCGCTGTATAACAGAATATGTAATTATATATTCTTGCATGGTGTTTTATAAGAATTATTTAACACTTGATATTTAATTTCTACCGTGTAGTATTAATTTTTTTCTATGGTATCATAGTTTATTCCAAAAACGTTGCAATATTTGAATTTATTCTTCTCGTGATTTTTACGAACAAGAATTTATTATAAATAAATGTACATATGTTTACAATTAATTATATTTTAAATAATTACTTTTATCTTTTCTCTTATTTTGCAAATTAAATTTCGGAGGCGTTACTTGAAGGTGGTTATTTACATTATTACCTAATTTTAATAGTACCTAAATGATAATTTGAGTGCAAGTTAACAATTTCGCTCGTACGATTGTATCTACGATTGAAAAAATGGTGGCATTAATTTCTTGAATAAAATAACTATAACAACGTTTTAATGGATGGGTAAATTCTTAGGGCCAACTGTAATGAGGAATTGTGTCTTCTTAATATTATAAATAAAATAATTCTTATTATTCATATCTTAATAGCATAATGTAGATACTGTAACCCTGAATAATTCAGAACAGTATAATTATCTCCCAAGAAAATGCATTTACAATTTAATCCTTAATATAAATCAAATTAAATGTGATTCATAAAAATGGAATTTTAATAATATTAAGTGGTTTAGTGTCGAAATAAGATAATTATTATTAAATGTACCTTTAAAAAGTTAAATTTAATCAATTTTAAAACATTGTTAGAAAAATGCAGTAGTTTATAAATTTTCAAGCTTGTGATTTATTTTTTTGGAAATTTTATGCCTGTATTAATAAAAATTGTCAACAATAGCAGTGAAAAATTATACGCACAATGATATTGTAGTCAGCAAAATTATAAGTAAAATACATGATTCCAATAATTCTGAATAATATCGAGAATTATATATACCAAGAAATTAAACAGAAAAAATATTTAAAAGTCCCTGCTCTTGTTGACCTAAAATAAAAAAAAAAAATAAGTAATTCATTCTAGATTTTTTAATCTATCAATAAGAACTTTTCTACCGCAAAGTTTACTTAGACCTAAGTTATACATAGTTCTAGTCATTGGAATTCAATTAAAAATACATATTCGTATACACAAAAATATTTAACTGGATAATTCATATAAACGAGGTGACAATAATTATAATATTGTCTTCATATTCATTATGTTCAAATTGTGAAAAAAGTATTTATTTATATCACATTGGGCGTAGCGAGGTTGATAGCATGTTTATAATGATATGATACAAATAATTATTATAATAACTAAGTATAATAAATGTGAGAGACATCTTTAATTGACAATAAAATGTAAAAACACTGCCCAAATATTACACACTATCCGAGCTACGCCCATTTTAACTTGAACTACTTATATATAAAAATATCCCTGTATGTTGTTTTGTCGTTGATATTGATTGTTGTCGAGGCGGAATATTTTAAGCGTTTTGTTTTGAGTTGAATTAAGTTCCGTGTTCATAAATTAATGTAATCAGAGCTAAAATACATTGATTCAAACATTTGTCTTCGAATTCGAGAAAAAACGCATGATAATGTTGCCATACTACTAAATTCAACACCTAATTGAGGTAAAAAAATGTAATTCAAACTAATGCGATTGCATATTTTACTGAGGTCATTAATATCAAATAATTATATTATTAAGTAAAATAAAATTACAATGATTACCTCTGAACATGGATATTTTCAGCATTAAACAGATACTTATCAACATTTCGTGGAGAAAGTGTTTTGAAACTAACTACATTGATTGTAGTTATGATTTCATTTGTGATAGAATATAGTGTGATAGCAATATTGTTGCCACGAGATGAGTTTTAATAAATGTTTTAAAATATCATGGGATTACGTGTTTCATTGATGTTTCCTTTCCGTCTAGTTCAAAAATAAAAAAAACCTTAGGAATCGTCTTAATTGGGAGCGGTCGTGCGATGGCACGATGCATTTTACATCGCACGATCAAAGTTGTCCTATATGATGACCTAACAGGTGTCCAAATAGATCGCGTGATGTCCATCGTGCGATGGCTCTTTTCAGAGATGAACGCAGGTTTTGCTGTCAGGCAATATTGCTTTAAAAATTGCAAATGAAATTGAAAAAAGGAAACGTAGACAACATAAAATACTATATAGATCTTTGTATGTGTGTATCTGTATGTTTGAACTCATCGCACGACGAGAACGCATCGCGCCATCGTATGATTGCTCCCTATAATTATTAGGACGACGCCTTATTCTCAAAAATGTCATAGGAACCTGGGTACATACTTTTAGGGGCATTATGTGTTTTGGATAGTTACTACCGGGAGATATACTAGTTATTGGAAATAACGACACACCACACGTTTCAACTGAGAAAAGCTCTACCACTTTTCAAATTTTTTCAAGTTGTATTTTCAATACTTTTTAATCCAGTCCCGTTAAGTGAATGCTTCGCAGTTAGGTATTGTAAACACTTCTATTCAACGAGGCAATCTTTATACCATTTTCATTTCTAGTATAATACAAAATATAGGCTATACCAATCTAAAACAAAAAAGGTCATCATTACCTTTTGTAGACCTTTTTTTAATCGTGTCCGTTATCCAGGCCAGATTTTGTCGACAATGGTCATTTGAATCTTATAGATAATTAGTTGTGCGGCTTCTGTAATTGTTGCGCACATTTTTAAATTTGTTGCGCTTATAGTTTTTTAATTATTTCACAAAAACATTTCTTGCTGGCGTAACGTTACCACAGCCAGACCTTTTTCTTTCTAATGGGAATATTTAAATAAATATTAGCTATAAAATTAGTTGTCTAGATAAAGTAAATGTTGTGCCTTATTTTGTATTGTTCTTTCTTCGGTTGCGAAGTTATTCGAGATTTTGCTGCGGTAACGTTTTTGGTTTTGCTAGATCTTTGAAATGGTTAAGCGGATTCTTATCATATTTTGTACACGACTTCCGAGGACTTAGTTTAAATTTGTTGTGCAATAACAAAACCAAAATAATGCATATTTTAAAGCATTTTTCATTAAATATAAAAACACTTCAATTGGCCCCAGCACTCCCAATAAGAAGTCTAAAGACTTACTTCAAACGTAATTTTAAAGCTTGTAACTGCCTTCAAATGTATGTGAAGTTTTATTTGTATCCCGTAAGTATTTAACAAGTTATGATGATATTCAGTTCTTCACGAGCACGGTCTTAATGCACGCGGTGTTATTTGGCCACTGGCTTGGATATATGAACTGAATATTATGTCAATGATTAGTTGTTTAGATCAGTTGTATATCAGTAAAATTTCAGCTCAATACATTGGATAATTAATGAGATAATACTATTAAAGTCATTAAGAAGTGAATGACCGTGGTAAGCCGACCAAGTTTAGGTGGTTACGAAAAAGCGAAAACGCAGAACATTATGGTACCTTCTAAAATATGTAGGATAGTGTTATAAATTTAGTACAGACATGTACAAAAGTTTAAAAAAAAACTACATGATTATTCAAGATTTTTTATTGAAAGGTAAAATAATCATTTCAATTGAACTTTTACTCCCTTACCTAAAAAAACTTGTGTTGCTTAGCAACCGATTAAACATCACCCGTCCTTGTCATTTCTATTTCAAAATGCAGTTCAAAAATCATCTAAAAGGTTACAATAGTAACCTTCTGGCAAGACTGAGTGCGTTATGCAAACAATGTATTACCCCTTCACCCCACTACTCCTGCGTCCTACCGAACGGCATGCTCTAGCGGTGATTTTTGATAATTTTGTGGAACTGGAAGATAATGTTTTTTTTTATATTTTTATTATATAGGTAATTACCAGTGTACGCGTCTGTACCAAAATTGTAAGGTGTATTATACTAAACATTTCAAAAGATAGTACAATGTTCTGCGTTTTCGCTTTTTCGTAACCACCTAAACTTGGTCGGCTTACCACGGTTATTCACTTCCTAATGACTTTAATAGTATTATCTCATTAATAATCCAATGTATTGAGCTGAAATTTTACTGAAATACAACTGATCTAAACCACTAATCATTGACATAACATTCAGTTCATATATCCAATCCAGTGGCCAAATAACACCGCGTGCATTAACCGTTTCCGTGCGGATGATGCCGCACAGGCACCATGTAAATCTATTGCGTATGGCGTATGGTGCCCGAGAGGATACAAAACTAAATCATACAAAACTCGGCTTAAACGACATTCGTTAAAAGAGCCCTCTAAATGAAAGTGTCTTTATTTGTCACCCTTATCATGCCCACAGTGTTCGTTTTAAGTAATTTCGCAAATTAGCTGACATCAGGGGTTGTAAACCAAGTTGCCGACACATTTTATTATTGATTATAATTCTAACAGCCCACTTTCTGGAATGTTTCTCAAAAATCAAATGCTTTTGTCATAAGGTTCATTGTTGCCTAAAAACGTACAAAGATTGCGCTGTTCGCCGGCCCTTCGCCTACGAAGTACCGTATTTCCTTGCGTATAAAACTACGCCGTTCATA